TCCAGATCCAATAAATAGCCCGCCTTCTTGCCCTGATTGACGTGATGGTACTGATCACTATAAATGGCCATGCCGAGCATCGGAACTCCATAGTGCATCGCCTCTATGACGCCATTGGTACCTCCATGGCCAAAGAACACTTTTACATTGGGGTGTGCCAGGATGTCGGCCTGAGGCAGCCAACTCTTCATCATAACATTTGCCGGAAGATTGGGCACTGACTCGTTCTCAAACTTCCACAGGACACGTTGCTTGAGGCTTCCGAAGACATCCAGGAATATCTTTCGCTTTTCAGGCGACATTTCGGCACTGCGCACCTGAGAGCCTGATAATTAAAGTTGGAAGTATTTTAGAAATGGGAGTACGAAGTGGAATAGCAATTAAACTCACCCAGACTGAAGTAAATAGCCCCATGGGAAGCTCCATCCAGGAACTGTTGGATATCCTCGGGCAGAGCCTTTGGCGGCTGAATGTGCAGACCAGCACATTGTATCATATTATAGGAAACGGGTCTGGCCGAGAACAGTGGCATGTGACTGTTCAGCAGGATGGCCGAAATATTCCTCTCCAGCTCCTTGACGGTGGGAACTCTTTCTAGCCTCTTGGAGAAGTGCTTCTGCAGAATGGCATCTTGGAGGGGGTAATAGGTGAACTCTCTGAGAAGGTCTTCGACGCCACTGAATGCCACATTATGTATTCGTTCCCACAGCGTCATCTTGTCAGAATATGGCAAATAGACGTGTGGAACATATGACCAGGGAGAGACCACTCCAAACAACTGACTGAGGTAATTGGCAAAGCCAAAGGTCGAGATGGTGATGATGGGTATCTGGTAGAGGTGTCCAAGGATGAGGGCTCCCTCGTTGAAGAACTGCTCCGCCAGGAGGAGATCGTACTTCCCGACCTTATCTGTGGCATTGATCACTGCCTGAACCTCTGGCTGCTCGAAGGCAAAGTCTGTGGTGCGACTCCCAATAAATTAATCATTCTCAGGAAGGCCAGGTTGTCCACATCGGTCATCTCCATCGTGTTCTTTTTCTTGGTTAGCGCTTGAACTAGTAAACTTTTGTTGCTGATGTTTTGCATTTATATATAAAGTAGGTAACATTCTAACTTACCCTTTGGCAAGATTTCGTACGGCGGAATTGGAATTTCCCTGTAATTTGGTCCCAGGTTTTCCTCGGCCATAGATACGGAAGTTATCATGGTGACTTCATGACCACGTTTCACCAGTTCCCGAATGATCGCGTTGGTCATCATGGAGTGGCTTTTCGCGGGAAAGAAAAAGGTGGCCAGGATGCGGAAGCCAGCACCAGTGTCCAGGTGCTGAAGACCCACCAGACTCATAAGCAAGATGTGAAGTGAACTCCTAAAATGCTGTTGAGTAAAATGAAATACATAACTAAAAGTTGTGATCACTTGTAACCTATCTGATTTATTGATCTGGGACGTTCTGGCAGTCTTATTTTAGTGTCAACAACAAACCATTTTAAATACGTCTTTTCTGTTCTGGGAGGCAAAGAATCGACAACCGACGAGAACGACGACACTCGGACCATTGAAAACCATTGATAATAAATAGTTTAGATGGCGTTCCTATAAATATACTAATTATGTACAATATAACACTATATATATATACTAAAAAAACACGTGATATTGCCGAAATTGATTTGTTATAGAAACCGAGAGATGAGAGTATCAGCCGGAGTGAAATATTCAATTGTAGTATTTGGTAGCCTTCATTAAAATCGTTCTGAGTACCTTCATTGATAAGAACATATTTTTATTTAGAGATTAACGTTAAGAGAGTGTCTTTAGTTTTAACAATATTATATGCATACACTCTCTTATTATTCCCTTTTATAGTATTATAATTTCAGTCAGTGGAATTGGCAGATTTCTTAAGCTTTAAGAAACTAGCACAGGGAAGTTATCCGAATTGAAATTAATGCATTTAGGGTTAGTTATGATATTTGGAAAGCTTTGATTTACCCCAAAAATTTGCATATAAAAATATCGATTTAATTTTAAAGGTTAATTGCAAGGCTTTACACATTCGGCTTCTCGAAGTTTGTTTTCTTTATTGTTTTAATTTGTCTTAGCCTTACACTTGTGAGTATTTATCGATTTGGAGCTCCTCCGGCAGAGGATAGTTAAAGCAATGATCGGCAGGAGGATGAGGACTAGAGCCAGACCAACAATATCCAGGAGGTAGAACTGATACCAAGGCAGGTGGACTCCAGCGGAGACCATGTGAGGTGCCCCCCGGTGTTCAATCACATAGTTTATCCAGTACATTGCCGTATCCATGGCACTGAGGGGTCGATCGCGGAACACCTTGGATGCCTGCTTCATATTGTTCCTGTACTTGGGGTTCTCGATCAGCTCCAGAAGGGACTCCCTGAGCTCTTCCTCCGTCACCGTCCTGTAATCCAGATCCAATAAATAGCCCGCCTTCTTGCCCTGATTGACGTGATGGTACTGATCACTATAAATGGCCATGCCGAGCATCGGAACTCCATAGTGCATCGCCTCTATGACGCCATTGGTACCTCCATGGCCAAAGAACACTTTTACATTGGGGTGTGCCAGGATGTCGGCCTGAGGCAGCCAACTCTTCATCATAACATTTGCCGGAAGATTGGGCACTGACTCGTTCTCAAACTTCCACAGGACACGTTGCTTGAGGCTTCCGAAGACATCCAGGAATATCTTTAGCTTTTCAGGCGACATTTCGGCACTGCGCACCTGAGAGCCTGATAATTAAAGTTGGAAGTATTTTAGAAATGGGAGTACGAAGTGGAATAGCAATTAAACTCACCCAGACTGAAGTAAATAGCCCCATGGGAAGCTCCATCCAGGAACTGTTGGATATCCTCGGGCAGAGCCTTTGGCGGCTGAATGTGCAGACCAGCACATTGTATCATATTATAGGAAACGGGTCTGGCCGAGAACAGTGGCATGTGACTGTTCAGCAGGATGGCCGAAATATTCCTCCAGCTCCTTGACGGTGGGAACTCTTTCTAGCCTCTTGGAGAAGTGCTTCTGCAGAATGGCATCTTGGAGGGGTAATAGGTGAACTCTCTGAGAAGGTCTTCGACGCCACTGAATGCCACATTATGTATTCGTTCCCACAGCGTCATCTTGTCAGAATATGGCAAATAGACGTGTGGAACATATGACCAGGGAGAGACCACTCCAAACAACTGACTGAGGTAATTGGCAAAGCCAAAGGTCGAGATGGTGATGATGGGTATCTGGTAGAGGTGTCCAAGGATGAGGGCTCCCTCGTTGAAGAACTGCTCCGCCAGGAGGAGATCGTACTTCCCGACCTTGTCCGTAGCATTGATCACTGCCTGAACCTCTGGCTGCTCGAAGGCAAAGTCTGTGGTGGCGACTCCCAATAAATTAATCATTCGCAGGAGGGTCAGGTTTTCCACATCGGTCATCTCCAGCACGCTGTTCTTCTTCGTTAGCGCTTGAACTAGTAAATTTATTTTTGCTGAGGTTTTTCGTTTATATACAAAGTAGGTAACATTCACACTTACTCTCTGGCCAGATTTCGTACGGAGGATTAAAATTTCCGTGTAATTTGGTCCAAGATTTTCCTTGGCCATAGATACCGAAGTGATGAAGGTGACTTCATGACCACGTTTTACCAGTTTCCGAATGATCGCATTAGTCATCATGGAGTGGCTTTTGGCGGGAAAGAAAAAGGTGGCCAGGATGCGGGAGCCAGAACCAGAGTCCAGTTGGAGAAGAGTCACCAGACTGAGGAGCAGGATACGCAGATGTGCACTCTGTAATTGCTGTTAAAATCAGGTAGGATTTATGCATGAGAAGGGACACTCAAGTTAAATAGACTTTCTTCAGTATATTGTTTAACTTTCTGAGAACTATTTTCATGCGATAATAATAATTTATACATGTTTTACTATTCTTAACACCATTTCTATACGTAGGCTTTCCACGTCGCAAATACATTAAATTCGCTTGATTTATCGAGACTATATTTATTTGCTTGTTTATGAAATATTTAGCTTCGAACTGAAATTAATTTCGTGATTAAAAAGTGTGCTAAATCTTGAATTTATTTAATTATTTCCTTCTTAGCTTACCATTTTGATTTTTAATTATTTCTGTAGAAGAGCAGACTCAACCAAAAGGAACGACGAACATCTGAAGACTACAAACGGGTGACTATGAATAGTTTTTGCTTTGAATTCTATATTTCCATATATATATATATATATATAAATATATATGTGACGAGTATCCAAAATACTTTGAATCGTTAATCGGTGTGAACCTTAAGTAAAATAAAGCAGAAACTAGGCAATCCGGTTTTTTTTGTTTTTTGATAACAATTATTCGAATTTCATTAACATTAATGTGCACGTGTGAACTTAGTTGTCTGCTCTACTGGATTATTTATATATCGATTTAGATGTGAATGAAAGACGCTGTAGGCTGGTCTTCTCTTTGGTTTCTGTTGTTTCGCTGAAAAATAGACTTTTGTTTGCTTCGACTTCTAATATATAAAAAATATTCAAAATTTATTTCAATTAAAAGTATTTCACTTAACAAAAATCAAACACAATTTGAGCTTCTAATTTTTCTTAGTTTTCTTTTTGGGCTTTCCTGAAGGCCTTGAGCTTTTGCGGCATAGCGAGAGCAACAACAAAAGGGGCAGTAGGATCAGAGCCAAACCCAAGAAAACAATATCCAGGAGGTAGAACTGATACCAAGGCAGGTGGACTCCAGCGGAGACCATGTGAGGTGCCCCCGGTGTTCAATCACATAGTTTATCCAATACATTGCCGTATCCATAGCGCTGAGAGGTCGATCTCGGAACACTTTAGACGCCTGCCTCATGTTGTTCCTGTACTTGGGGTTCTCGATCAGCTCCAGCAGGGATTCCCTGAGCTCTTCCTCCGTCACCTTTCTGTAATCCAGATCCAAGGCATAGCCTGCCTTTTTGGCCTGATTTATGTTCAGGTGCTGATCACAGTAGACGGGCATGCCCAGGATGGGAACTCCATTGTGCACCGCTTCCTGAGTGCCGAAGAGTCCTCGTGGGCGATGAATACTTTAACATTGGGGTGTGCCAGGATGTCTGCCTGGGGCAACCAACTCTGAACCTTCACATTCGCTGGGAGATTGGGCAGTGTCTCATCCTCGAACTTCCACAGAACCCGCTGCTTCAGACTGCCAAAGACGTTCAGGAATACCTTAAGTTTCTCGGGCGGGAGATCGGCACTTCGCACTTGGGAGCCTAAGGTGGAGAAGTGAGTTTATTGTTAAAACCAAGAAGATCTGGGAGATATGAATGGAATTTACCCAGACTGAAGTATATGGCTCCATGGGTGGCTCCATCCAGGAACTGCTTCAGATCCTCCGGCAACGCCTTGGCCGACTGGATGTGCAGTCCACCGACCTGAATCATGTTGTAGGATGTGGGTCTAGCCGAGGCCAGGGCATGTAGCTGTTCAGCAGAACGGCGGAGATATTTCTCTCCAGCTCCTTGACAGAGGGAACTCTATCGAGCTTATTGGAAAAGTGCCTCCGGAGAATGGCATCCTGATTCGGGTAATAGGAGAACTCCCTTATGAGATCCTCGGCACCACAAATGGCCACATTTCCGATGCGCTCCCAAAGGGACATTTTGTCTGTGTAAGCCATGTAGGCATGAGGAACATACGACCAGGGAGAAACCACTCCAAACAACTGGCTGAGGTGGTTGGAAAAGCCAAAGGTCGAGACGGTGATCATTGGTATCTGGTAGAGATGTCCAAGGATGAGGGCTCCCTCGTTGAAGAATTGCTCTGCAATTAGAAGATCGTACTTCCCGACCGTATCCTTGGCATTGATCAATGCCTGAATCTCTGGCTGCTCGAAGGCAAAGTCCGTGCTACGAAGACCCATTATTTGGAGTATGCGTAGGAAAGTCAGGCTGTCCAAATCGGTCATCTCCAAAACGGTGCTCTTCTGGGTCATCTCCTTGACTAGGGGATAATGGTATCATATACATATACATTTAAATATATTGTAGTAATACTCTTACTCTCTGTCCACAAATCGTATTGTGGAATCACAATTTCCTTGTAGTTGGGACCCAACTTTTCCTTGGCCAAAGAGAAGGGTGTGATGAAGGTGACTTCATGGCCTCGCTTCACCAGTTCCCTAATAATGGCATTGGTCATCATGAAATGACTCTTGCCGGGTAAGAAAAAGGCTGCCAGGATGCGGGAGCCAGCACCAAGTCCAGCTGCTGAAGAGCCACCAGACTCATAAGCAAGATGTGTAGTGTACTCCAAAATTTCTGTTGAGTAAAAATGCAATACATAACTAAAACCTATCTGATTTATTGATCTAGGGCGTTCTGGCAATCTTATCTTATCTTACAGATCCTTATGGTAGACCTCTGTCTAACGATTAATACATTCTGATTAACAGTAGATTAATTATCCACTTCACCTTTTCACTTATCTTCAAGCTTAAAATCAAAGGTTAATGAACTCGACCATTAACCTTTGATTTTTACCTTTATGCTTCTCCAAGCTCTG